CGGTCATGCCTTCTTTTTGTTTGATAGCCTTGGACTTTTCGTAAACCAGTTCGTCAGAGACATCAAAGCCAGGGTTCCTGTGATTGACGTAATCAGCATCTGGAATGGGATCTGTGAATCAGACGAAAACATTTTCAATCGAAAAATCAATCGAAAATTCTGAAGACAGACAGACAGAGAGAGAGAGAGAGAGAGAGAGAGAGAGAGAGAGAGACTGAGTCGAGAGAGAGAGAGCTGTTCGAATAACGTTTCTGAATGCAATTCAATATTAAAGAGTAAGAACCTATTTTCAACATGAGGTTTTGATTCACGTCTTATTTTAAGTAGGCAAATCATTTTGAATATCTCCCTTTTTTTAAAGTTACCGAGAGAGCTTTGAAGTCGATCTTCAGTACTTCCAATTGGTATTGCGTTTTCATATGTACACATCTCATGGCTTCCATCTAGAAAACAAAACATGTATGCTAATGATCATTTCATTAAAGAGCGAGGCCAAAAGAATTGTTCAAAATCGAGACACTATTTTACTGAATTAGTTGGTGGGTAATATTAAATACCCACTTTTCCCTCAGAGGCCTGTTGAAAATACTGGAAATTCTATTGTTTTGACCTGAATCGTCATACATAAACCATTATGAGTGAAGCAGTAAGTAAGTAAGTAGAGACTCTATTTTTGGGGGTAGCACTTAATAGTGTAAAACTAATAAATTTGTGGCTCTCTATGACAGGTGACGCCTTACGGTTGAACCTCGAGGAATTATCTTCACCTCGCCCGTAGCCTGCATTATCTGTTATGAGAATGCAATTACATTTTACTATAATGTTTTACAAACATTTTAATGTTTGGAATGTAATGGATTTAATTAAGTAAAATTAATGATACATAATCAATGACAATATATTATGAGATATTGTTGTGTTGCCTTTGATTTATTTTTGTAATCTCTGTTTATACTTACCAACAGTGTCTGTTCTTTGCTCATCAGATTGCCTACGTACGATTTTAGTTAAGTAAAAGAGTTATAAAAACGCATAAAAACGCGATCGTGTTAAGAACTTGGAATATCACCAATTACTAAATGCTGACCTTTTTTTGCGTATCTTTATCATCACCATAATAACAATAACTATGATTGCTAGTCCAACAATACCAGCAAGTGCGCCGGTGATTAGGCCAGTCTTATCCTTTTCTTTACTAGCACTTTTCTTGCGGTCAGTTTTCACAGAGATAGATGTCTACAGAATTTAAGATTAGCTAGTTTTATATCACAAAATGATTCTATCAGTCTAAAAATAATCAAGGCAAGGTGTATCATAACACATTTAAGAACTCACGACAAGTGTTTTTTTTTTTTAAACAAAACGTCTCTTACTGCAGTAAATGATCTACTGTACTTTGTCCTGGTAGTACTTATATGTCCAACCGTATGATCAGGTATCGATGAAACAGGCTCAGTTAAAATTGATGATCGGGTTGTTGGAATTGTCATTGTTTGAACTGATCCTTGTGACGTCCTCTTATGAGTTGTTTTGGGTTTTGCAGTGGTAATTCTTGTTATTGGTAATGATGGTGGCCGTGACTGTATCTGTGTTATTAAAGGTACTGTTGTAGATGACTGTGATGGCGTAGGTGGTAATGGACCTGAAGTTATCAATTAGCTGGTGTTAACGTTATTTTATTGGAAAGACCTGAATTCAACTAAATCAGTCCTGTTTTGTATTTTTCTTTATTTTAGCTTCTTTGTGTTTGCCTTTTTTGTATTTAAAATAGCGAAAAACCATAAATTGAGTTTCCCCAGATACTTACATCGAAGTGTTCCATTTATTTTCAGTATCACACAATATTGCCCATGGGATTGACAATCAATGTTAATTCGTATAACCTGACCTTCCATATCATCGAGACTTCTATTGGTCTATATATGAAAATAAAACACCAATTTACCAAGCATTGTCAATTCCTATTCCCATTGGAATACATCAATCATTGGTTAATATGAAAAATGACGGTAGCCGATCAATGATGACTACTTTCTTAACACTTACATAAAGATACCAGTTGTTGTAGTCTTGCTCCACAAATATATTGAATGTTTCCATAACCAATCCACTACTGAGTTGTCTCCAGGTTCCACTGCATGTGAGATWGCTAACTTTGTTGGTTACACCACAGTTTGAAGACGACTTTAATGTTGGTAGCAAGTATGATTCTGCATACTTCTTTCTGGTTATGGTTATAATTGGACTTCTAGCATTTCTATTCCTTAATATCAATGAACAACCTAGAAAAAACGCAAGTCAGTTTTGTTTATTTAAGGCAAAAGATCCAATCGTCAGATGTTTTAAAAATTTTGCATAATCAAAGTGGATCATACTAGAAGTAAAATAAGCAAATAAACATTGGGCGTCACCGACTTCGTTTTGGCGTGAGACGTGAAAGTACCGGTTTACCCTTTTTACGGTAAAAACGCGCTAACAGCGTAAACACTGAAAGCTGTCAAAAATAGGTTTTATTATACTGAAAAAGAAATTGATCGTCCCCATTTTTAACGGAACTCTAGAAAATAACCAAATAAAGAGTTAGCGTATGTAATCTGTGTTAAAAAAATTCTATAAATATACCAGTATTTTGGAGCAATTCAAAACTTTAGGATATATTATAGATTACAATCATAGATGGTTAATTTAATATTAAGCTTGTCTGTACCTATGGCGACAGACGCTCTCTCGCCCCATTGCTTCCCGAACGACTGATAATGATATAGGTATTGTTATCACGAATAGCTTTCGCAAAAGAATTTTTCCCCTTTTTGCGAGTTTGCCGAATAGGTTGATTTTTTAATTCCATGACGTCGCAAAGAAAGGAGATCATGATCATGCAAGTAGACAAGTAAGCATTCAAAGACAATAATTATATTTCAATGTTAATATTGAAGTGGCGATAAACATGCATGAGCCTCTAAATCTTATAAAATAAATTACGGTGCGATTATGAATCACGCAGAGATATTAATACAATTATGAACCAATAGGAATATCAAACAACTCACCACTAAGATTATGAAATTTAGTATTGTCTATACACTTCCAACTGTTGTAGAATGCAAAAGTACTTTTTTCATCGTTACATTCACATGTGCATCCATTATTTCTGCCGACAAGTTTGCCACCCATAGTAGTACACTGTACTGTTGCATTGTCGGCAGAACACATCGATGGAGGTAATACGAACAGGTCTGGCAGTACATTCCTTGAATCCGTGATCATTCTGCGTTGAATGGAGTATTCCTCTGCTAGAAGTCCTTGCCACAACGATAAAAGAAAGGCGACCAAGTTTTTATTCATTATTGCAGGTGTTTTATTTCTCGATCACCTTGAGCAATTCTTCAGTGTGCAGCTTTACCAAGCAGTAACATACATCCTTACTTCTTGTCCTGCTGCATGTCGCTGGATTTCTTATGAATTGTCTTGCAGGTTTGATTGTCTTGGTTAAATAGCTTCGTTCTATAGCACAATGTTGTAACAGAAAATGTGACTGCTCACTAAATTGTCAAAGAATATCAATTGTCTAACACAGAAAACAGAAAAAGATACCTGATAACAGGTGTTTAATTTACAATTTCAAATTAGGGTTCAACTTATTGGCTGTCGAGGTTTCTTATAAAGAATTTTCATACGACTGACACTACGACTAACCTTGACTTCCGCATAGAATAATTCACTGTCTTAAAGAACTGACGAATGGTATCGAAATATTTAAAAGCGATTCGTGTTATCGTATTTCCTAATACATTACTGAACTGTCCGACAAAATAGCAAATCAGATTAATGTCTAGTACTTCTGAGACTTTTATGTGGTAAAGGCATTATATGTTGTTTTCATTTTCAAAATGTGAAGTGAATGAAGTTTTGTTTAGAATACTTGCAAACTGAAGATGCTAATAATAGAAGATAGCATGGTTGAATAACGATACAGAGTAGCAATTAAAACAAATGACGTCAGAATGATATCATAACTGTTATTATGCCCTTCAGTTCTTATATTAAGTTATTCAGTTCTTAATTATAACACGTAAGACAAAATGAAAATGAAAATTTTTAATTGCACTTAATTTACAGACGAGGTAGGCTAGTCAATACAAGAGCTTTAAAGCTCGATTATTTCTTGATCTAATATCTATTCAACCCAGTTAGCTGAAAATGTACCTCCATTTGCCGGCATAAACGCCATCTGAACGATATGGAAAAGGAGCACAATATTCCATTTAGAATATCAATTATCCCAATTAATGTGATCAACAGGAAATCAATGTCTATCAAAATGATAATAAATATATAGAGTGAACAGTGGCCTATGGAGTATTGTATGATCAGGTCATTTTTCATGGATTCTGTGGTCGACGTTTCTATTTGTTTTCATCTCGTCCCAAAAGTCTGTTTCCGCGTGGTCAGTACCTTATGTTCATCGGTAATGACCAGTGCGTATTTCTTCTTGCTATAATTTTACGTGTGAAAATCGTGAGTTGACCGCTGACTAACAGTACTGCGTTGAGAATTTAAAGATTTAGTTGCACTAAAAAGGACTTGATTGGCATAATCATCTATAGGTTCTTCATTTATCTAGATTCGCATGGTCGTATCCAGATATTTTGAGCCCAAATATTTTTCAAAAGGGATATTTAGTTTTATAGTCAGTTTTGTAGCACATTTTCATAGGTCGTTCAGTGGTGGGGTCTGCAGAGACACTATCCTAGGCCGATATATTTTATAAAAGGGACGTTTAAACAGATCAGTTTTATAGTGCAGTTTCATAGATCATTCAGTAGTGTGTGTACAGACTTATGCGGTGTGTGGAATTTCTTGCCAGATGTAGGATGACTCACATACTTGATACACAAATTGACGTTCACGTTTTACAAGTGCGGAGAGCTTGAATTATACGTAAATTTAAGATCGTTAGGTTTGTAAGAATAAAGTGTCTTAGTGCTTTTTCTCAGGTTTCATGAAAGTACACTTCCAACGGTATCATAGAGAGAGACATCTTGACCGTTTTTAAGATCGTGGCCAATTTCTATTGGCATGTTCGAGGAGGCACCATGTGCACGAGGATCATTCTTGTTGAAGCCACCTTTGGACTGTGTTCCATCAATTACATCGTACACGGGCGCATATTGAAGGACATTTTTATCAATAATACTATCATAATGATGTGGTTCTCTGAAAGTGACCAACGTGGCACCGGCGCCAGACTCAGGAATAGTAGACAAGGCTTCCTTTCTGGTTCTTTTTGTTAGATCTTGTTGCCCTTCTTTGATTGTCTTGTTTTTGGGCTTGGATGGTTGATTGTCAAATTCTTCCACGACTTCGTATACTTTATTTGCTACACTGTTGCGGTGTCCTAATAGTAAAAATGGTAAAAAGAAAATGGATGTCTAAAATGAAGTGGTTGAATTAACTTAACCTTTCAAAGTCGTGTTTTTCTAACGCTGATCCTGGTAATGAAACTAGTAGTATAGGCCGCACCGCACGATCCGTATTTTTGCGGTGGATTTACTAATTTTGCGGTGGATTCGAGTATATTTGCGGTGGATTTAATTATGTTCTAATACGTCACGCATTACGTGTATCATATGCGGTGGATTTAATTATTTTTATTACTTATTACCATAAAATGACGGGTAGGTCTTGTGAAGTTGCCATGACGACCAATTGACGCCATGAGTTTATTGTTTGACAAGTTTGGACAAGTCTTTTGTTTACCAATCCAATTTATAGAGCGC